CTTGTGTGGGTCTAGACGGTGATCAATTGGGCAGGTTGCGGTGGCCAGGAGCAGAAGCTGTCAGCTCTAGTTAGTGCTGGGGGCGTTTGTAGGAAATTCAGATTCCTGGGCGTACCCCCTGAGGTTTTGCTTGTATCACTTTGGGACCATGCCCAGGATTGTGCATTTCCATTAACCATCCCAGCTGATGCTGAAGGTCTGCAGCCCTCACGGAGCCAAATAGGCCGTTTCAGAGCTTGGGCTGGAGCTCTCTCCTCATTAAACTCCTCTGTGGCTGGCCGTCGGCTGGAGACACTGCTGGTGGAGACAGCCCCTCGCCTAGCCTGGGAGCCGGGGAGGGCTTCCTGCACGGGTGGACGTTGGAGCTGAGACCTGGAGGGTGACCAGGAGTGAGCTGAGGGCAGGGGAGACCGTGGCTGTGTCTCCAGGGTCTAGGCCCCCACTTCCCAGCATCGTCTATTAATTCACAAGTTGCCCCTGACCCCTGCGTGGCCCAGGGCGCTGAATGTGCAAGAACGATCAAAATGGCTCTGCTCTCACGGGCTTCTGATCTGGCAACTCATCATCAACTAGTTGCACACACGGTCACAGCTGACTGAGTGCGCGCCACTGTTTGAGGCACCTCACATGTATTTGACGAATCCCCACAACACTCCTATGAGGTGGGATCCCTCTTTACTGCCGGGGAGAGGCCCAGAGAGGGTAAGTGCCTTGGCCAGGGCCACGTTGTGGGTAAGTGGTGGAGCTGGATTCCGAACCCAGGAGTCCCCAGCCTGCAGCGTGTGCCGTGCTTGAGGTGTGAAGCCACTTTTAGATGAGTGCTGGGGGAAGGGAGCAGAGCTATGCAGGAAATGAGGGGTGGCCAGGGAGGGGCACCTGGGTAATCAGTACGGGGACAAGCATTCCAGGCTGCTGTGGGGTCCTGGCCAAGCCTCAGTTTTATCCTCTGTGAAATGGGGATGGTTGTAACACCTACCAGAGGGCAGAATTAAGGGTGAGCTGTTGGTTGACAAGTATGCATGGTCCTCATCTGAGGTAAAACCTTTGGAGGGAAAGGGGGGGATGAGGTCTGGACACCCCTGGGGGTTGCGGTGGCTGCACTGTGCACTCTGGATTGTGGGGTGTCCTAAAGGGTTTTGGGACCTACACATTCCGGGGGAGCACCAGGCGAAGTGAGGAGGGGATTCGATCCAGCTCAAAATCACCCACACGGCGGGATGTGATCTCAGAATAGGGGCCAGGCGCTGTGTGTGTGTGTAACTGAAGAGCCCCACTAGGTCATGGCGGGGCGGAAATATATAGTGGGGAGGCTGCAGAGAGTGGGAAACACCATGGGGTGGGGGTCCTCAGGGGAGGGGACTTTCGGTGTGGGAGATGGTGCTGTGGACGTGTCTTTATGGAGTCCAGCGTGGAGGATTCTCAGCCCTGGGCCCGGGGGGAGGGCTGCGAAATCTGAAATATCCAGGGGAGTGTCATTTGGGAGGAGGAGCCCCGGGGTGGTGATATAACACTGGAACTGAGACGGGGTCACCTTGGTGAAAGATGAGAGGGAGAGGCTGGGGCTGGGAAACTGCGTGCATGACAGGAGGCGCCAGAAAGGGGACCAGGTGTGTGGGCCAGAGTGGGGCTTTGGGGTGTCCACGTGGAATGCGCAGCCCACGGCCCAAGTGCTGACGTTCCAGGTTGACTAGGGCGGGGCCTCGAAGGCTCTGTTGGGATCCCGGGATGCTGGGATGCGGCCTCTAGAAGCTGAGGTAGGGAAGAGGAGGCAGGAGAGACTTGGGACTAGAACAAAACCAGCCACCAGGATGGGCCACCGGTCACAGATCAGGGATAGAGGATGGAGGCAGAACAGGGTTGGCTGTGCAGCTCGGGGGGACGGGGAGGAGAAGGGAGGAGAGGTTCCAGGCCTGGGGAATTCCAGGATGGGGGTAGGGGTGGGGGGCTGTTCAGGAGGGTCTCTCCAAAGGGGAGAGAGGTGGAAAATATGAGTGTAGGGGAGAGGGATTTACATAGAATTTGGGAGGGAACAGAACCCGGGTGCAATATGGGGGTGATGGAATGCAGACTGAAAATGGGGTGTGTGAGGAGTAGAACCTTGGGCAAACATGCAGGCAGGATCCTGGAGGCTTAATGGGGGGCAAGGGCAAAATTCAGGTACTATATGGAGGGACCCCAGGAAAACATGGGGGCTGCTGCAGGGAAAAGGGAAACGTACCCTCCTCCCCGCTCCTCCGCCCTCCCCCAACCTGGGAGAGCCGGATGGAAGTGAGGGACTTGCGGAGTGGAGGGGTGGACAGGGGTAGTTTTGGGAACTAGCAGAAGAGAGATGGGGTTGGAATGTGGAGGGGGAGGCTCTGCAGAGGGGAGGGGCAGGGGAGCACAGAGCCTCCCGGCCACCTGCAGAATGAGGGTCGAGCTTGCAGGGGTGTGAGATTTATTCATCCACAGTTGTTGCGTGCTCACCACACGCCTAGAAGAGGGGATGGGGAGGGAGTGGGCGAAGTTTGCGGAGGTGGGGGAGGCAGGTGCGTTAAGGGGAGGGTTGAATTCGGGGAGAATATTCAGGGGCTTGCAGCTGGTGACTGAGGTGGAGGTTAATGTCTCAGGGCACCTGGATTTGGAAAGGTCCTTATTATCTAGTGAAGGGCTGCTGTCCTTGGGGTGAGAGTGGGGGGCTTATGTGGGGGACTGGGGACGGAGGAGAGATGGGAGGTTGGCGGCAGAGGTGGGGCGGGGCGGGCCCCCTTCCTTTGTCTCCTCCGGGGAGTTAGGTACCACTAGCGGGGTGGTGACGGGACTCTGAAGTTGCCCGGCTCCCGGGAGTTCCGCCGCTGCCTCCAGCGGCTTGGTAACCGAGACGGCGCGACCGCTGATTGGCTCACAGAGTCTGAGGGCGGGTCAGTGGGCAGGGTCTAGGGCACCCGGTAAGGCTGGTCCCCGCGCTGCCTGGCGCCTGCTTTGGGGACCAGGGGATGAGGGCTATGTTGAAGTGTGTAGCTGGACGGACCTCTGAACCTCCCAGAGAATGCAAGCACAATCGCAAGGGTGCGAATTTTCAAAGGAAACAGGTCTCCAGATTTTATGAGCCCCTCCAAGACCAGAGATCCCTCCTTCAAATAAAGTCAAGAGCTTGGGTCCAGGGACAGGTGTCTATCAAGACGATGTGGGGCTTAAACGTTGGGTCTTTGAGAAGGGGGGTCTGTGGATGAGTGTGGGTGGCATTCTGGGAGCCCCTGAACTTAATTGCAAAAATATGTGAGTCTGTTCATTTATCTGGGAAGGGTTCAGAGATCTCATTAGATTCTCAAAGGAACAAGGACTCTAAAACAGCTCAAAATGACTGACCTAGAATTTCAGGGCTTGCCATTTTCTCACTCACAACATGGTATTTTCCGATATCAGACTTTAGGAAGAACTTCCTTGGGGAAGTGCGAGGACTAAAGAGAGCGATGGGGGAGAGGGGATCAGGCATTGGAGAGGTCCCCACGGTCTGGGTCGAGGGCAGCCCCGGGTGGCTCTGTGTTTGGAGCAGCAGTGGGACCCTGGACAGGGCTCTTTTTCTTCCTGAGCCTCAGTTTCCCTATCTGTACACTGGGGAGGGAATGGGCTGGCCTTGTCTCCGTAGTCCCTTTCAAGCTCAGAAACAACAAAGCAATAATAATAACGATGACGATGCTGGTAGGTATTGAGTGCTTGCTGTATGCCAGGCACGGCTCAGTTCCTCCAAGGATTTCAACACGATTAATTCATTTAATCCTCACACCCGTCCAAGGACAGGGGCACTGTTACCCTACTTAGTTGTCCTGTGTGAACATCGTTGCCCGTCCACCTCTGCTCTCATCACTCAGCCCCTCCCACCCTCTCGCTGTCCTTGCTGTGCTCAGGACAAACTGGGAACTACTCACCTGGGGCCTTTACCTGGCAGCCCCCTCTGCCGGGACACTCCTCCCCAGGCATCCGCCCGTCTCTGCCGCTCCCTCCAGGCCTCTGCTGAGAGGGGCCTTTCCTGGCCACCTTAGCCGAAGGAGCAGCCCCCACCCCCCAGCATTCCCTTTCCCCACTGCTTGACATTTTTATACCTCTGACTTGTTGCCACCCTCCTGAGGGTGGGACTGTAATCTGATCCCCGGTCCCTAGCACCCACGGTGGCATGTGCTTTAAAGATAAGGAATCTGGCTCTAGGAGAGGTTAAGTAACTTGCTCATGTCTGTGCACATGGTGGGACCTGGATTTGAACCCGGGCCGCCTGAGGCTCCCATTTGGAACCAGCACTTAGACTCCAGGTGGAGAACTGACTCTCTTCCAGCTCCTTGTAGAGCTAACAGTGAGTTAGTAGCTCTATTGGCTGAGAGAAGGTGCTTACGCTTACAACAGACTAATTAATAAAATCAGTTTTCAGTGCGATGTAATTTACATGTGTCACTGATCCTATCTGGCACTGGCTGTTCTCTCAGCGTGGACCACTTTCCCTAGAGGGTCAGTCATGTGGCGGCCCCCTGACCTTCAGTTCTCCGCTCAGATGTCGGCCTCTCACAGAGCCTGCCCTGACCCCCTGTTTAAAATCTCTGCCCACCTCATCGCAATACTCTCTGTCCCCCTTTCCAGCTAGATTTTTCTCTACAAATGTTTGCTGATCAGTGAGTGAATAGTGATAAATATATAACGAGTATAAGGATTCATAATCAATAGTATTAATCACGATTCTCTAGTTGGAAATCGTATATTCTATCAGCCAGCGTGTATTGGGCATAGTAATATGCAAGACACAGTTCTAAGTGCTTTTATATGCACTGTCCAATTTAATCCTCACGGCAACACTATGAGGTCGGTGCCATTATTATACCCATTTTCCAGAAGAGAAAACCGAGGCACAGTCTCTTCCCTAAGGTGCCACAACTGGTAAATGGTGGAGCCAGGAAATGAATTCTGGCTTTCCAGCTCCTGAGCCTGGGCTCTCAGCCCCTCTGGGTCTCTGTCTCATCCCCTCCTCCAGTGACACTGGCCATGGACCAGCCAACCGGTCTACAGGTGGACTATATCTTCCGGGGTGTGGAGCACGCTGTGCGGGTGTTGGTGTCTGGGCAGGTGCTGGAGCTGGAGGTGGAGGACCGGATGACGGCAGACCAGTGGCGCGGCGAGTTCGATGCCAGCTGTGAGTGTGCCTGCTTAGGGGGGCTCGCTTGTTCTTCTCTGCAATCAGCTTCTCCGAGAAGACAAGACCACCAGGGATCCTGCCCACCTGCCTCTTCCACCTGACCAGAAAAGCTCTCGGGGGTGTAGGGCTCATCCCTCTGGCCAGGGGAACGGGGGTCAGGGAGAGTTGGGAAGCTTGGATGCATGGCTCTTGGATGGGGCGAGTGGTCAGACCTCAGAAAGAACTTTTCTCCTCACTCAGTCATCGAAGATTTGACTCACAAGACAGGGAACTTCAAACAGTTCAACATCTTCTGTAACATGCTGGAGTCAGCCCTGACCCAGGTAGGAGTTGGGGGTGCGGCTGGGGGAGGTTCCTGTCTCTGGATACCCATCTGAAGTTCTGTGTTCTCTTTCATTGAACACGCACGGCTAGCTCTTTCTTTTCTTCTTTCCCACATGTAAATGGCTTATTTTGATTCTATTGAGAGTTATTCTCATGTAGAAAATTCAGGCCATGGAGAAATATAAAAAAGAAAGGAAAAATCACTTCACTCCTCATACTCACTCCTGGTAATATTTTGGTGAAAATCGCTCCGGTCATTTCTCCATTTCTCTCTTTATTTGTGAACCTCTGTGAGTGTGTATATGTGTGCGTGCATTTAGATCTGTCATTATCCAGGGTGGAGCAAAAGTAGATTTACAGTTGTGAGCACATGAAACAGAGCTTATTCTTTTATTAGTATCTATTTATTGTATTATTTTCCATATGAACCACTGTGAACCTACTTTTGCCTCTCCCTGTATACAGTTGCTGTGTTTCCCAAGGTATTCTGTAACCTGCTTTTGAAAGGTTCGACAATATTTCATGACAATTTAGTTACAGCCTTGAATATGGCCAATCATTCATTTTGTTATACTATTGTTGGCATGAGGACACAACAGGGAACAAAGAGACAAAGATCCCTGTCTTTATGAAGCTGACATTCCAGTGGGAGAGACAGACAACTGAAAATAAAATCATGTCAAGTAGTTAAAAGTAGTAATAGGGGGAAAAAAAACCAGGTTGAAACTTAGAGTGACAAGGAATGCTATTCAGGTGTCATTTTAAACCTGAACTCCATTATTCCTCTGATTACAGATAAAATGTGCACTCATGGAACTGTGACAGCAGTAGTGTGTGACTTAGGAAGTGAGAGCCCCTCCTAATCCCCTTCCCATCTCCCACCCAGACTGATAACAATTCAGCATCTGCAGGCATGATAGCATAATAGCTGGGGGCACTGCCACTTACTAGCTGGGAGCCTGGGCCAGTTACTTCCCTCGGTGCCTTAGTTTCCCTGTCTGTAATGTGGGGATGACAGTGGGCCTCATTTCAAAGTGTTGTGAAAATTAGATGAGTTATACCTAAAAGCTTAGAATAATGCCTGGCTTAAATTCAGTGCTATATAGGTATTGTCTATGTTTATTATTAACAACTTTTGAGTTTGTCATCCTTGTTAGTGGTTGCTTAGTATTCCATCGAATCGTCATTCATCATGATTTCTCTTAACTCAGTGATTCTGAAACATTTTGGTTTCAAGATCTATTTATGCTTTAAATAATTTAAAAATTACTGAGGACACCAAAGAGCTTTTTTTAAATGCAGGATTTATTTATCAGTATTTGTTGCCATATTATAAATTAAAAAAGATCAATTTAAAGATATCTATGAATTCACTTAAAAATAACAATAGTACTGTTACACGTTAACCTCAGTACCATGTTTATGAAGAATGTATTTTCTAAAACAATGAATTAGGAAGGAATGTAGCATTGCTTTACGTTTTTGCAAATCTCTTTAGTATTTGGCTTAATGGAAAACTGCTGGATTCTCCTATGTGTTCCTGCATTCAGTCTATTGTGATGTTTTGGTTGAAGTATATGCAGCAAAATTTGCCTTAAGTAGATACATAGTTGGAAAGGGGGTCCTTTAATAGCTTTTTCAGACAATTGTGCATATCCTTCTTAGCTAACACATTAAAACTGGACAGGTTGGTTGCAATGTGGAGCCTGAAACCATAGCAATGAACTTCCTGTATTCTGTTACATAAAATCTACCTGTGTATCTTGCACTTTGCCTGGGTATTTTACCCGTTTTGTAACATCACATATTGGCCCTATGGAATTATTGGTTCATTGGGTTGTGCAGCTCTTCCAGATGTCGTGTTTCATTGTACAATATCAGGAAGTCACGTTTGTCAGGCTCCTCAGTGATCTCATCGGGAAAGTCTGTCAACATCCAGAGGCTGTCGAGCACACGGTGGCAGACCTAAGGCTTCCCAAGTTCCAAATTTTGCTCTGATAGTTGAATGTTTATTATTGGCAACAAATACCGTCAGCAGTTTTTCTGGATGTGACAGGCTCACTGTGCTCACTTTTGAGAAAACACCTGCCAGACACCCAAGGCTGAATAACCCTAGTTTTGTCTGTCAGTGGTTCTTTCACATAAAAGTGGCGTTCCGTGCAAGCGGCTACCCTAGCTCAACACACGGCTGCACAAGTGCTTTCCCTGAGACAACTGTTGCGCTTTGGTGTGCGGCGGGGCACGCGCTTCCCTTTTGTCCCACAGAGTAGTACTGGGCTGTGTATGTAAGGGTTGGGCTGCAGTAAAGTTAACAATTTTTACAGCATCATTAAGAACGTTCCTAGGTTTCATTTCCTCTTATCTGTCTGTCTGTCTATCTCTCTCTCCCTCCCGCCCTCCTGGCTAGACTGCGTGGCATCAGAGGGTGCAGCGACTACGCCTACATTTGCTGCCACTGTGAATTTCTGCTAATGGGCACCGGCATATTTACCCACCATTACTTTTGCGCCATTAGTGCAAATGTCAACACAGCAGAAAGGGCAAATGACATCTTGGTATTATTATGCAAATTGTGTTAACCTCTTTGGCTCCCTGAAAGGGCCTCAGGGATCCCCAGGGGTTTATGGACAAAACAAGGACAGCCACAATCCTAAGCTATCCTCCGTGGTTGAACACTTAAAATGTTTTTTAAAAGACCTTATTTATTTTTTATTTTTAGAGATGGGAAAAGAGAGAGAGAAACATCAATGTGTGGTTGCATCTTGCATGCCCTCCTGGTGGGGACCTGGTCTGCAACCCAGGCCTGCGCCCTACACTGAGGATTGAACTGGTGACCCTTTGCTTCACAGGCCCGCACTAAATCCACTGAGCGACACCAGCCAGGGCTAGATGAGTGTTTAGATTCTTTCTAGCTTGTCCCTCTCGCGAGGCCTTTGTGCCAGCACCTTGGACAGAGCCGTCTGGTTCCTCAGGCACAGTGTAGGGAGTAGCCCAGAGACGGGTCAGGCTGTGGCGCAGCTGTGTGGGTTGTGTGCTCTGGGTTTCGCCATGCTGGGTCTTGTGGCAGCTCCTCCCACCCTCTCCCAACAGAGCAGTGAGTCGGTGACCCTTGACCTGTTGACCTACACAGATCTGGAGGCCCTAAGGAACCGCAAGATGGGGGGCCGCCCAGGCCCCTTGGCCTCAAGGTCTGCTCAGCTCAACTCCAAGCGCTACTTGATCCTCATCTACTCCGTGGAGTTTGACAGGTGGGACAAAGGGCTGGCTTTCTGTCCAGACTAGCGAGCCAGTGGGAGAGGATGTGGTTAGACCCCGATATCCTGGGCCCGGTGGGGATGCTGCTTAAACCTTGCTTTTGGAATCTTCAGTGCTGAGGTTTGTATCATGTAGTGTGTTAGGTTACAAGCAGCAGGGTACCCATTGCCACTGCCTTAAACAAGCAGGAGTTTATCACCTAACAAGATGTGTAGGTAGGTGGCGGCAACTCAACAGTTTTATTAGGGGCTCTGGCTTCTTTGTTTTTTCGTTTGTTTGTTTTCGTTTGTCATCCTCAATATGTGGGCTTTTTGATTTCATCCGGATCTCTTCATGGTCATGAAAGGGCTGCTGGACCGTCAGGTAGTGCATTTGTAGCAAAGCGAGAGGAAGAGGGACAGGCTGTGCTTGCTGGTTGCCATCTCCTTTTTTTATTAGGAAAACAAAAGTGTTCCTGGAAGACTCCCAGCAGATTTCCTATAATGTTTGGCTAGAAGTGGTCACATGAAAGGAATGCTGGGAAAATGAATATCTGGTTGTCTGTCTTTACAGCGGGAGGCAACAAGGGAGAAGGCCTTTGGGAATGGCCGTTGGGCAGCTGGGGAAAGTGTTTCCTCCCTTTGTTAATAGCTCCTGGATTTTCTAGTGGGAAGTTACCAATCTTCTATGAATAGCACCTGGTGAGGGGCAGCCCACCAAGGTGCCCTACCTTCCTGCAGCCAACGGGGACCCAGGTCACGTCATCTAGTCCGCTATTATGGAACCTCAGTTAGGATTGTGCTTGGCTGCAAGTGACATGACCCAGTGGTTCCACGATCGCTATGTGAGAGGGTCTTAGGGGAGGCTGACTGGTACGAAGGGGCCAGGGAGGGAGCTCAGAGCTGCTTTTGGAACTTAAGCCTCTGGGAGTGTGAGGTTTTTGGAACTGTGTGTTTTCCTCCCCTGAGGCTCTCAGGGTCAGGTAGATACCCTCAGGGATTCTTGGCCTCTGAGATGTCCTGGTTCTAATCCTCCTCAGGATTCACTACCCGCTGCCCCTCCCGTACCAGGGCAAGCCAGACCCCGTGGTCCTTCAGGGCATCATCCGCTCACTGAAGGAGGAGCTGGGCCGCCTTCGAGGGCTGGACGGCCAGGACCCTCGGGACACCAGGGACTCTGAGATCTGGCACCTGCGGGAGCAGTGAGTCTGGGCAGGGTGGGCAGTTGGGGCTGGGGGTGGCACATCCCATCATGCACTGCGGGGCTCTATGGTCAGCGCTATTGGGAGGACTCCAGTCCTTCATTCACCGAATATTTATTCTGAGCTCTCTTCTGTGCCCACCTTGTGCTGGGGGGTGCTGGGGACACAGTGGTGACCGAGACAATCCTGGCCCTGCTGCCCTGGGACTCCCAGTCCCATGGGCGAGACAGATCTGTGAAGGTGCGGTGGGCAGGATTGGGGATCTCAGAAAGGGCACCTGACCCGGCTGGGTAAGGGCTGGAATTCCAGGCAAAGGGAGCAACATGTACGAAGACAGGGTGGGAAGAAGTGCTATATCACTTCAGTGTCTCTTTTATTCTGGTCCCCTCCCTGACCCTCACATGAGTGACCAAGACAGGGGGCAGATAGATGTTGACCACAAAACCACCCAAGTGCATCGTTGCGAGCGGAGGTAGTGTTAGTCAGGAAAGGGAGCCTGTGCTATGGAAGGCTGTAACCGGAACCGGATGAGGCCTTGGGGTGGGTCAGAGACGGGGGTAGGGAAGAGCATTCTAAGCAGAGGGAACAGCATGTGCAAAGGCCTTGTGTTAGGTGGGAATGTGGGGAGAACAAGGGGACTGGAAGCGTGAAGTGAAGAGAGCGAAGCTTTTGACATCTTGAGTGCCTGCTGCGTGCCCTGGGCTGAGGGGGAGCTGAACTGGGGACTTGGTTTCCACCTGGAGGAGACCCCACACATTGGGGAGGGATCATATTTTCAATAGTTGTAGTAGTAATAATAGTAATAGTAGTAGTAGTAGTAGTAGTAGTAGTAATACCAGTAGGAAATGTTTTTGAGCATTTAACTGGGTTGCCAGGGACTCTACTCAGTGCTTTATGATTTTAATGTATTTAATTCTCACAAAATAGGCGTTACTATTGTTCCTATTTTACAGAAGAGGAAGCTGAGGCCCAGAGAGGTTAGAGAACTGGCCACAGGTCACACAGCGAGTAATGTGGCCAAGCTAGACTTTGAATCCAGGCAACCAGGGCCAAGCCCCTTTGAGTTCCCCAGCCACTGTGTACTTTTGGCAGCTGCTAGGCCAGGACTGAGTGAGCCCTCAGGGCTGACAGGGAGAACTAGGCCTCTCCCCTCCCGGGTGTGAGAGCTCAGGAGGCTGGAGGACCCTGTGGGTCTTCCTGAGGAGCTTGGCTGGTCGGTGCTGGAAGCAGGATGAGCTTTACCTTCAGTTCCTCCTTAGTCCTGCTCTCAGGCCAGTGGGTGCATGCCTGCGTGCATGTGTTTCCCAGGATGACCACAAGGGGGCGCCCTCTGCATTGAGATCCCACCGTTTGACGGTGGCTTCTTATTTTTTCTTCCCAGTTTGGAGTCAGGGAGTCTGGGAAGACTCCCAACGTTTATTCGTTCATTCATCCAACACTTAACGAGTTCATGCTGTGTACTGGGCATGCCACCTGGCACTATTAATGTTTATTGAGCTCTTACTCAATGTCAGACGTGGTCTAAGCTCTCTTCCTAGATTCCTGCCACCTTATAGGTAGGTATTACTATCGTCCCACTTCACAGAGGTGTGAAGGTCACCCAGCTTGTAATAAGTGTAGCAGGATTGGATGTGGGCAGCATGGTCACAGAGCCCAGGTTCCCACCTAGTGGCCAGACAGCTGGTGACTGTCCTCATAGAGGTAGGATTCAGACAAAAAACGCTGATAAACAGCAGCCAGGAAGCTAGGGAGGAAATTGTACAGAGCACCAGGAGAGCAGCGACCAGGGACATGACCTAGCCAGGCGCAGGGCAGGCAGGCTTCCCGGGGAAGTGGTGTTTGAAGGATGAGTGGAGTCATACCCGCCTAGAGGAGGAGGAGAGTTCCAGGAAGAGGGAACTACTTTTGCCAAGAGAGGTATCTTTTGGCTGGAGCACCCCAGAAGAGGGAGGTGGGGGGAGGGGAGATATCTACTGGAAGGGGCTGAGCGGGAAGCTCCTTGGAGAGTTTGGGGGAACCACAGATTTTGAAAAATATTTTATCAGGAAAAATTTCAAGCACACACAAAAATAGCCAGCAGTACAATATGCACGTACTTGTGCCCCAGCTTCAACGGTCATGACGTGCTGCGCATATTGTTTGACTTATGTTTCCCCCTCTCCCCAAAGAAGCAAATGCCAGACTTTTCTCTCCCATAAACACTTCAGTATGTATCTTTAACATACAAGGGCATTTAAAATAGAAACAGAAGCAGTGCTATTACATACAACATTAACAAAAATTCCTTAATATGTGTATGTGTTAACACATCTCTACTACTGACAAATGTCTTTTGTAATTGACTTGTGTGAATTAATATCTGAATACAGCTATACATTGCAATGTGTGATGTGTTTCTTGAATCTCTTTTATTAGTCTCCCCCTTTTTTTAATGCTACTTATTTGTGGAAGAAGGCAGGGTATTTGTCCTATAGAGTTTCCTTTAGTCTAGATTTTGTTGATTTTATCTCCATGGTTAATGTATTGCTCTGTTTTTCACGTCTCTGGTGAAGTGGTTATTGAGCCTATAGGCTAATCGGATTCAGGGTTTTGAAAGACACCGTCCTTGGGGAGCTGTGCACCCGCCTCCTGTCAGGGGCTGCTGGGACTGACGAGTTCCGACGTGGAGAGCTGGATCCCTCTCTCATAAAATTCTCATCAGCCCAGCACCTCTTGGTTGTTTTCATTTGCATTTCCCTAGTTTCCGATGAGGTTGGGCACTTTTTCATGTGTTTAGTAGTCCCCTGGGTTTCCTCTTGTGTGAGTTGCCTATTCACCTGTCATGTCTGTTTTTCTTCTGGTCATCTATTTCATATTTGATTTCCAGGAGTTCTTTATATAGACTGGATATGAGCCCTTTGTTAATTTTATGTGTTTCAGAAACCCTCCTCCCTTCCTTCCCCTAGCCTTTTCGCTCTCTTAATGGTGTCTTTTGAGAAACACTTAACGAGAGAGAACATAATCTATTGGTTGCCTGCTGCATGTATCCCAAACCCAACAGGGAATTGAACCTGCAACGTAGGTATGTGCCCTGACCAGGGATTGAACCCTCAACCTTCTAATGCAAGGGACGATGCTCCAACCAACTGAGCCACCTGGCCAAGGCTGCAGGTATTCTTTTTTATTTTTTAAAGATTTTATTTATTTTTAGAGAGAGAGGAAGAGAAGAGGGAGAGAAACATTGATATGCAAAAGATACATCATTGGGTTGCCTCTTGTACACCCCCAACTGGGGACCTGGCCTGCCACCCAGGCATGTGCCCTGACTGGGAATTGAACCGGTGACCTTTTGGTTTTCAGGCTGGTGCTCAGTCTACTGAGCCACACCAACCAGAGCTGCAGGTATTCTTTTTGATGCTTATATTGCCTTATCTTTGGCCAGTAGGAACACCCTCATTTTGGTTCCTACATCCTTCTGAAATGACCCGAGTCATCTTTGATGGCCTCCTCATTTTCTAGCATGCCAACATGTCTTGGACTTCTTTGTATCTTTCTAGTCTCAGAACTGGTATAGCCTCAAAACTGGTGAAAAAAAATTTTTTTCCAAGGAGCTCTGGTTTCTTTTAGTGGGAAATTGGATATAGAAATCACAGTCTGGTTGTTAGGGGTGTCTTTGCCACTGGGTAGACACTGCCTTTATGCCTTTTTATTAGAAAGAGCCAGAAAGTAGGTACTTTTATAGAAAGAAAAAAAATGATGTCTGTGTTTATTTAACCTCTTTTATTTGTGTGCCTTTTTCTCATATTGACAGTCTTAGTTCCTAGTAATAGTAACATAATTATTTTTCTTTATCCTAATAATACCAATATAATTACCAATAGTAAGAGTACTGAATGAAGTTCAAAAATTTTTTGCAGTTCTTTTTGTCCTTAGGCTATTTCCTGACTGCTAAACAGGTTTTCTTTTTTTTTCTTGTCACCTGACATAATTCTCCAATATGCCATTGATCTGATATAGTTAGATCTGCTTGACCCAGTTTCTTTTAAAAATTTTACTTACCAAGACAAAAAAAAAAAAAAAAAAAAAAAAGACCACACAGCCATGTGGCAGAATCTAGTTGCATCCACTCTTTCCACTGTAAAAAAAAAAAAAGAAAAAGAAAAAGAAGTTTTACTGATTGCTTTTTAAAAAATTTAGTTATATAAGTTATTTTCGTAGTTCCAAATTCAAAACCAAAATAGAGGGTACATTCAGAGGCATCCAGCTTGTGTCTCTGCCACCTCTATTCCTCCCTTTTTAAAGTTTTCAATTTATCCTTATATATTTTTGAAAACAGAACGTATATAATGAATAATTCCCCCTTTTACATGAAGAGACATACTAAACATTTTTCTGCACTGTTTTTAAACTTATATCCCGACTATCACTTGGTGACAGGATATAGAAATCTTCCTCCTTCCTTCTTATAATTGTGTGGGACTCAGTTTAGTAGATGTACCATAGAAATTCAACTAGTTCTTTGTTGATGTACGTTTGGGTTATTTCCACTGCTTTGCTGTCACAAATAGTGCTGCAAGTAATAGCCTTGTGTGTACATCTTCTTCTCAAAGAAGGGTTTCGAGCACTGTGGTGGCCTGATTGTATCTGCACTTTAAGAAGAGTCCTCTGGTGAACGGGAGGCAATGAGACCCGGCTGAGGGGTCGAGGGGATGCTGGGCTGGGGTCAGCACCTCACGGTTAGGCTTTGAGGTTATAGAGGAGGACAGACCAGTGATGTAATTAGAACTCAACACAGCTGTGGCGGCCCGTGGTCTGGATGGGGGTGACGTGGCCGTGTTCCTTGTCACATGGGGGAGGTGGAGGAGGGGAGGTGATGGGACCATGGGGGCAGCGGGGAGTGTGGTGGGTCCACCCCTTTGGGGGGGAGGTGAAATGGTGGTGCCTGCCCACCTCCGTGGATGGGGATGAAGGAACCACGCCCCTCTGCTCCCCCTGGCTCGCTTTCTTCCCTTTACGCTCTCCGCCCAGGGTGTCGCGCTTGGCTTCTGAGAAGCGAGAGTTGGAGGCCCAGCTAGGTCGCTCGCGCGAGGAGGCGCTGGCCGGGCGCGCGGCGCGCCAGGAGGCCGAGGCGCTGCGCGGGCTCGTGCGCAGCCTGGAGCTGGAGCTGAGGCAGGAGCGCGGTCTCGGGTACCGCGGGTCCGGCCGCCGCAGCCAGGACTGCCGTCGCCTGGCCAAGGAGGTGAGGGAGAGCGGCGGCTGGCAGGGGCGGCCTGCGGGGACGCAGACCTGGGCCACAGACTGGACTCCTGTGCTCCTATCCACTCCCGCAGCTGGAGGAGGTGAAGGCGTCGGAGCGGAGCCTGCGCGTGCGGCTGAAGGCGCTGAACAGCGAGCTGGCCACTTACAGGAGGGGGTGAGGGGCGTGGCCCTGGGTGGGCGGGGCCTCAGGGCCGCCGACCGGGCAGGCGGAGGGCTTGGGCCGGAGTCTGAGGGAAGTTGGGCGGGGCCAGGACTGGATGGAGGGGGTGGGTGCAACCTGAGAGTGAGCGGGGATGGTGGGGTAGGAGGGCCCTAATGGACAGACAGCCTTTGGCGCGGAGGACTCCGAGAGTGGGAAAAGGTGAGTGGGGTCTGGAAAGATGGGCAGGGCTTGAGGTGGGATTCAGGGGGCTGGGGTTGGACAAAGGGACTGGGAAAAGGGAGGACCTGAGGGTCTAGCTATACGAAAAGGGCATGCACCAGCAGGTGGGGATCTGGGTGATTTCTGCAGGTCTTTATCGGCGGGCGTTAGGGAGTGAAAAATTGGTGAGGGAAAACCAGGGAACTATGGGAAACCTCAGGAAGAAGGGTCAGGTGAAGAAGATGGTTAGACAGTAGGGAAGTGACGGTGCATTTTGGAAGGGATAATAGGGCTCCGCGAGGGGCGGAGCCTGGGAGAAGGTTCTTGGAGGGGCGTAGGCGTATGCGAGGGCGTGAATATCTAGCAACTGATGGACCTGAAGGTTAGAAGATGGTGAGGTGTGAGAAGAGGACTGGGATAGGAGTTGTCATGGCCTGGGGGAGACTGACAGTGTGTCCTGTGCTCCCAGGAGACGGACTCCGCCAGTGATGCCGCACTCAGTCCGGGAGGACCGGGCTTCGTCGTCCCGGGAGCGCTCCACGTCCCGTGGCCGCGGCGCCGCCCGCTCCTCATCCCGGGAGAGTGGCCGCGGGGCCCGGGGTCGAGGCCGCCCTGCCCGCCCCTCGCCCTCGCCCACAGGTCTGTGCCAGCCTTGCCCTGCGCTCTCCTGCTCATGGGAGGAGGTGGAACGGACTAGAGCGGTGGAGACATCCTGTGACCTCAGCCTCTCCTTCTCTCCACACCCATCCGCTCCATCCTAGGTGGTCGCATGCCCCGTTTTGACCCCACAGCCTTCGTGAAAGCCAAGGAGAAGAAACTGAGAGAGATCAAGATGAAGTTAGCGTCCATTTCCTCCTCACCTGCCCATATCTCCGTCCCTTTACCTGGTCCTTTGACATGCACCCTCATCTGTCACCGTCTCCCATTCTGTCTCCATCACCTGTCACCTGCTCCATCTCTTCCTTTCCTCCGTGTGACCTCAAGAGGGTCACCCGCCCTGGCTGTAACCCGCAGGGTCACAGCGAGGCCCTTCCCCGAATTGGCCGGGCGCACAGGCATGCGTTTCGTTTCGGTTTCCCAGGCAGCAGCAGCGGCAGCGGAACCGATTGGGCAGCGGAGGAAGCGGGGACGGGCCGTCAGTCTCCTGGGCTCGCCAGACTCGTCCTCCTGCTGCCGTGACCGGCCGAGGGGATGCGGCTAACCGCTCCCGAAACCGCAGCTCTTCGGGTAACCGGGCTGGACCGCGCCGCGCCGGCACGAGGGCTGGGTGGGGCAGGCAAGTGCTGGAGGCTCACCATCTCCGTCTCCCTCTAGTGGACAGTTTCCGCAGCCGCTGCTCGTCTGCCAGCTCCTGCAGCGAGTTCGAAGATTTCTCTGAATCCCTTCCTAGACGGTAAAACTTGGGGCTACCGGCATGGATCGCCAACATACAGGCGGCTGGGGAGACTGGGAACAGTCTTTTGCAGGCAAATTGAGTGATGGAGCCTTGAAACCGCAGAGAAGGATGAGGTGGGAGGTGCCAAAGACTCCTCCCATTGGTCCTTGATTCCTCCCTCTTTAGCGCTCGCCGTCAACGCGGGAAGCCCCCCAGTCCCACAACCTTGAGTGGGTCCAATATGGTGAGTGTCTTTCCTCAGGCCTTGAAGGAGGTAGGGGCAGCATGAAACCACCAGAAGCTGCTGTTCCTTTCTCCCCGATTCCATTCCGGGGATCAGGTTGTCAAGGCACATATGAAATGTCTCTGGACACAGTGTTTTGAGACCACTAGATTGTAGGGGAGAATGCGGGTGGGGTGGGGGCAGAGGACGCTGATTGAGAGCACCACAACCTGCCTCACAGCACCTGTGTGACTCCAACGTAGGTAGTTACTCAGCCTCTGCCTCAGTTTCTTAATTAGTTAAACGGGATGGTGATAGTATTCATCTCAGAGGGTTCTGGTGAAGATACAAAATTATTTTATATAGGTGCCTAATAGGTGGGAGCTCTTATTTTTTCTGAGGTCCTTAGGTTCAGAATTTCTGGTGGGATTTGGGGGGCAGGAGTAGAGGGAGGGTGTCCGACCTCTTTCATGCCTCCCTCAGCTGCAGAAGTCCACCCCCGTGGAATGTGGCCGCCATCAGAGACGCCTGGCCAATTCTGGGGGCTGGGTCCCCATGAAAGGTGAGCCCAGGACATCACCTCTCTCCCTCACGTGCCCCAGAGCCTGCCGGGGTGGTGCCGAGGGCAGCGGTGCTCCCTGCGGCTGAAGACCCCACACAGCCCCCCACACCCACGCCTGCTCTCTCAGAGTACAGCTCCGACTACCAGCCGGCCGACATGGCTGAAATAGACGCCCGTTTGAAGGCCTTGCAGGAATACATGAACCGACTAGACACGCGGTCGTGACCTCAGGGAGGGAGCACTGTCCCTTCACCCTCTATCCACCGCTGGATTTGGTGTTGGGGGTGGGGGCGGTGCGTCCTTCCAGTCCCCCCAGGCCCGGCCCCTCCCGGTGCTCTTGGGGTCTCAGGCGCATGAGTCCCTTGCATCTCCGCTCCCCGAGGCATTGCAGGCCGGGAGGGAGGGTCTGTGCATTTTGTAAATAAACATTTGCCTTTAGGATCCCTCAGCTTATGACTGAAGGGTAGGGGTGGTGGGGGGAGACATGAGGACTGGAGGGAGGTGTCCTCGGGACTGGTGTGCATTTCTGGGCATATCTGTGACTGGGGGGCAGATTGGGGGTCAGACATAGAGAAGCCTTACAGTGTCTAAAGCAGTGAAAGCTGGGGACCTGCGGGGCCGTAGTGGACAGCCCAGCCCCGGAGGGGTCCAAGCAGAGGTTCTGCCCAGGCTGTGTGTGGCTGTGTGGTGGGGAGGGGTGTCTCAGCATGGATCGCTGCCCGGGAGCGCCCCCACGAGCTGCTGCCAGCGACTCCTGGGCTGGCCTGGGGCTGATTCCTGCACTCGGACACGAGACCTCTGGGCTCTGGGCTGTGCTGTTGCTTTGGAGCTGGCATTTCTGGGGTCTTGGTTCAGGGTTGGGGCCTCTGGGTTCTGAACACCAGTGAGGACAGTACTGGGAGGTCGGGATGGGAGGTGCGAGGCAGGACACATGAGCACAGTTTGAGTGGCACCTTTATTGGAGGGGGAGGCCATCGGTTTTGACCGGGGGTGAGGGGGGAGTGGAGATAGGGCCTCACGACTTGTAATGCGGCCACTTCTGGATGATTTCATAGAGCTGGTCGCCTGGAGAGAGGGTCCGCTGCAAATCCCGGTGTCCTTTGACCTTGTACTTGGGGAGCAGAGCTCCGCGAGCCACTCCGCAACCTATCAGGCTCTTGGCTGCCCGGATGGCCCGGGGCGGGGGTGCCCGCTCTGCGGGGGCGGGGGGGCGGGGACCAGAGGCAGCAGTTAGGCTGGGGCTTCCTTAGGGGGCGGGGGCAGTGGCAGCGTGGGGAGTGGTTCCAGCTGGCCCTCTAGGACCCGGGACAGGAAGTCATCTGCCTCTCCCTAGCAGTGACTTAACCCCTCTGAGCCTCAGGCTTTCCTCATCTGTGAAAGGAGAGAGTGAAGGCACCTGCCACAGGGCCACGGGGCCATAAAATGAGCTACTTCATGTGAGGCCCACAGAACGGTGCCCTGCACAGCTGGTGCTGGGGGGCCTGATCCCCGCGCATGCCCCCTCTGTCCCCGGGCCTTGGGTCCCGCCCACAGCGATGCTATTCCCGAGCACTTCTTAGATGCCATGGACTGACTGGCCTAAGAACCTAGACAGAGTTCCTAGTCCTCATCTGAACCACGTGGTTGAAAATGGTCATTATCCAAAAAGGAGGAACTGAGGCTCAGAAAAGCAAAGTCCCCTGTCCAGGGTCACAGAGCCCGTGGGTGGCGGAGCCTCTTAACAGCCACACGCCGTGCTGTGCCAGCCCCAGGCCCAGTGCCAGCCCCGTCCTGACTGGCTGAACAGCCACTCACCCATGTAGTTGCCCATGAAGCTGATTCCAATGGTGTAGGGGTTCCAGCGACTGGTGTGGGCGCCCGTGTAGTTCCAGCCCCGGCCCTCATATACCAGCCCGTCTTCTCCGATCAGGAAGCTGCATTGGGGGTGAGGGAGGTTGGTGAATGAGGGAGGGCTTCCTGGAGGAGGACCCCTCCCCCTCCTCCACTTGCCCTGCCCCTGTTCTTGCCACTCACACACAACTTCCCCCACACCCTCCTCCTTCCTCAGCAATAATGACGGCGGCCCCTGAAAGGCCAAGGCCGGGTGTGCACCTTTTTTCATCCTCACAGCAGCCCACGAGTCACTCGTGCCCCCTGTTCTGTAGACAGAGAGGTGCAGGCACCTGCCCGTGGTCACACAGGCGGGCAGAGCCCGGTCCTCCCCCAGGTCCTTGAGACTCCCACCCCCGGGATCGATCCCTTGCCCTCTCCTGCCTCCCTGAAGGGCTTGCCAAGCGCTTGATCCGCTGAGGACTCCCATGCAGCCAGTCACCCGTGGCAGGCGCCGGTGGCCTCCCCGCTAGAAGCCGAGGAAGCAGGCTTAGAAAGCGGGGTGATTTGCCCCAGCCCACGCCCCAGAGGCCCCTGCCTCTGAAACCACAGAGAAGCTCAAATGCCCTCACCCCAGCCTGCAGCCTGCTTCCTGCTTCCTGCCAGGGGTCCCCTTGGGCATCAGGATCAGGGACCGAAGGGCTGGGGCCATATTCAGACATGCACCCTCTGCCCCAGTATCTGCCCCTTTGAGATGTCCGATCCTGGCAGGTCCTTAACACTCATTTCACACGTATTGGTTGAGCGAGATGGACCTGACACGTTGGAATCAACTAGATGGACATCTTTGGAGAAACGTGTTGCCTCAGCCCCGTGGCTCGCTGGTTGCCAGCGATGCACAGCATGTTTAAACTTGTGGATCTGAGGTCCTGAATTTGCCACTTAGGAAGCCAAACTCTCAGCATCTGGCTCCAAAGAGACTAGAAATACAGTGACCCCCAGGACTGGGCCAGTTATGTCCCTGCTGTGTCCCCAGCACCTGGCACAGATGGGTGCTCCTTGTGTATTTGTTAAATGGGAACAGCTAGTTTAAACCTCAGCTGCCACCGCCAGATGGGTGCAGTCAGGAGCCCCATTTTATAGGGGAAGACCTGAGGCCCCGAGAGAGCGTGGTGTGACAAGGAAGGAGGATTCAGGACATTTGAACCAGACTCTGAGTCCTGAAATCGAAGGAACAGACTGCAGTCTGCTCTTCTGTAAGGTGACTTAGGCCGCAGGTGGTGGAGCCAAGCTCAGGTCTTTGTAACATCACAGAGACACTTAGGATGGGAACACTCGGAAGCCAAACCGTGACATTGGAACCTTCAGATTGTAAACTCGAACTGGGAGAGCTGGGGGATACCCTTAGAAGCTTCTAGAATTCTCTGAGTGAGGTTCCCAGGCTCCCTGGCCTTACCACAGCCTCCCCAACCCCAAGCCTTCTAAGGGAACCTGCATTTCCAGTGAGGCGATCCTGCTGCTCACAGACATCTGAGAACCTGTGGGGGTCGAATGTTGCCTTGTGCTGGACTCCAGGCTGCTACCCCTGGGAAGGGAGCTGGCGGGCATGGGCCCCCGAGGCAGAGCTGATCAGTCCCCACCCTGCTTCTGCCCTTGTGCCCTAGAGTCCAGCTCCCCAGGCAGCCAGAGGGAGCGCCTTATACCTAAGGCTCACAGCCCTCCCTTGGCTCCTGCCTTCCTCAGAACCAGTCCTCGCAGCCTCCCCTGGTTCCTCCCATCCCTCCCAACCCGCCCTCCCTGGTCGTGCGCTCCTCCCTGCTCCCGTCCTGCCCTGCCCGTGCCCTGACCAGCTCATCCCTCACAGCCTTCACCCCGCGGTGTCCCTGGCTCACCACACTTCCTCAGTTCCCTGTCCCAGAGCCACCAGAACGATGGCATTGCCCAACCCTGCCCTTCAAAAGGTGCCTGTGAGGGCCGGGTTTCCGCTTCTGAGGTTGCCCTTCGCCAATCTCATCCATCGCTTCCATCCGCATCCATCGGAACTCAGTGTGCTGACTTTTTTCTCCCCGCTGGTCTTTACATCCTATGAGGCCAGGTTCCCACTGTTCATGGCTGTGTCCCCATCCCAGCATCCAGCAGGTGGCCCAGCACCTAACAGGTGCCTCATGGCAATAGTCTAGGACTCCGGCTCCGACCACATACATGCCAGGCAGGGTCCTGAGTGCTTTGCGCTCCTGGGTCTAATGACCAGGTGGACGGTAATCCCGGGCGGCAGAGGAGGAAGCTGAGAGGGGGTGACTGCCTGGCCCGGAGCTCAGGCAGCCAGGAGCAGAGCTGGGAACTGCTCCCCGCGCCCCGCTTCCCCCCCCTCCCCCCCACGCTTAACCGGCCTGGTCGCTGCCTCCTAACAAAGGCACCAGACACTTGCATGTGTTGGTAAAGTCTGTTGCCTCTTCCAGGGAGCAGACTGGGACGCCCGCCCTTTCCCGCCTCCTAGCACTTCCGCGGCCTGCACGCGCCCGGCCCTCCGTGGTGACTCTGGGAGAAAAGAAGAGACCGCGGTGGCGGCTCTGGGACCGGTCGGTCCCTGCCGTCCCCCAGGCCGCACGCCCGCCCCGCACTCACTTGTAGGCCACATCGCAGTAGTCCAGCTTCTGCTTGTGGTAGTACTGCACGTTCTGCACCTGCTGCCGGCACGACGCCGCCGTGTCGCAGTGGCTGCCCGCCGTGTGCGACACCACCACGTAACGCACCGGCAGTTTCAGTTCCTCGGTGCAGTCGGAGGCCAGGGCGTTCCACTCTCTCCGGGGCACGATGGGCCCGCAGCACGTCTCGTCGTCTTCCTCCGCTCCGAGCCCGGGGAGGGCGAGGAGGGCGAGGAGGGCCCAGGCGACCGGCGCGCCCCGTCGGGTCATGGTGGGCAGGGCGCGCAGGGTTGGCTACGAGTGTGGGGCTCGTCCCGCCGCCTTTATATCCTGGGGGCTAAGGGCGGGGGGTGTGGTGGGGTTGCGGAAAACCTTGCTTCACACTCTGGGGGGATTTCCTTAGCAGGTTACAGGGGACCCCAGGCTCTGCTTCCCTTTCTGGCCGGGCTGCACCAGGATGCCGTGTGGTTGGGTCTAAGGGAAGTGGGGAAGGGGAACCCATGAAAAAGCCAAGGGACCCCTCTCCCCACTGGGCCCTGTGAGGGCGTGGGCCGGGGAGGGGCGCCCAGGTCCCCGGGCGCCTTGCGCTGTGGTTCCTGGAAGGCGCGGCCCGGATGGTCGCCACCGTTGAGCCCCACCGGGAACTGAACACCAGGAAGAGGCCCAGGGCCTCTTCCTTGTTCCAACAGGGAATGAGGTAACAACCACCCCCATTTTTTAGCCACTTCCCCCCAGCCCAAGCCCAATGCCATTTAACCCTTTCAGCAAACCACAGAGGTGGATGTTGAGAAGCCAGTTTCGCAGTTGAGTAAAGTGAGGCTGAGAGAAGGGAAGTCATGTTGCTGAGACACAGCCCATAGGAGAGCCCGGCGGCCCAGAAGCCGGATTCAGAGCCGGTGGCCTGTGTTTGAATTCTGGCCACATTCCAGTGCTTGGGCCCAGGCAAATGACCTAACCTTTCCGTGCCTCAGTTTCCCCCACCTGCAAAATGGGGATGATAATGAATAATAGGATCAATGTGAGATGAGATGAGTGGACAGGGTTGAACCCCTAGAAGACACATGACTCAGTGCTGCACAAGCACCACTGGGACTCGGATTCAAATCGGCCCCTGGTAGTAATCAACGTGCTTTCCGCGGGTGCCACTAGCGGCTGCGTTCTGCATCCGGGGGACTCTGAGGTCCGGAGAGGAAGGATCCTTTGCCCAGCGCCACTCAGCAGCTTGGACTCACCTGCTGGGGCAGAAGGCTCTCCTGGGGCCCCAGCGCTGCCCGGGCCCCCTTTCCACGTCCTCCTGGAGCACGTGGTGAGGTGCCGGCGTGCGCTCCCTGGTTTGCTCTTCCTCCTGTTCTGCTACTTTTGTGGATTAAAAAAGACAAAAGGGTTAGGGCACGGGGTGAAAGAGCTGAAGGGACTAAGGAACACTTATTGGTAGTCACAAAACAGTCCCGGGAACAGAAGTAAAGCCTAGGAAACATAGTTAATATTATGATAACGACATATGGTATCAGTTGGTGTACTGGAACCATTGAGGGGAACACTATGTAAAACATGTGATTGTCTAACCACTAAGCCCTACACCCCAAACCAACATGTAATAAAATGAAACAAAAATAAAGCACCATGAAATAGAAAAAAGACAAAAATCACATGTGAGCTGTAACAAGTCGAACTGATGCAAAATGTTAATCACCTGTGTCCCACTTCTCCAGCTCCGCCCACCTGAGGTCGCCAGTGAGAACAGTGTGGCATGTATTCTTCCAGCATATTTTCCATGCTCAGGTCGATGATGCTTGTGCCCACGATACCATCCAATGGCGCACTAGGCATCTCTAAGCACTGTTCGTGAATTATCTCAGCATATGCTCCCAGCAGGTTTGTGAGATAGATTTTATGATTAGCTCCCTTTTAGAGCTACGGAAACAAGCCCAGAGAGGTTATCTCCCCGTGGGCAAAGGAAGACGATGGTGGTACCAGGGTTTAGCCACAGGCCTCCTAGCTCCAGAGATTGGTTTTAAACCATATGTGCAAATACCTGCTAACAGAGAAGGACATATATTACAAAATCAAAACCATGCATATCACTTTGCCTTTTGTCACTTAGTATTTCACGTGCATCTCTCCGGCTCAGTACATCTAATTTGTTGTATATAATACTTGCATAATATGATCTAGGTTCACCATTTTGACAGTCTTTTTGAGGCTTTCCAGTCCTCTCCGCCCCAGTGCTGCACAGAATGTTACCAGACATATAGCCCTACACACTGACACACTGACACACTTATGCATTATAAATAGAGACTGTAGGTCAAAGACTCACATATGTAATAGATATGACTAGATTGTTTTCCCCGAAAGACTGTTAACAATTCATGTTTCTACCAGTAATGTAACGGAGCCCTCATTCACCCCAGAAGTGGGTATTAGCACTAATTAAAGGTATGGGTAGAAAGCGATCTATCTTTGTAACTTTAATTGGCATTTTTATGACCACTCAGGAGAATGAGTGTTTTTCTATGTTTGCTGGCCACTTGGATTTACTAGTTGGATCTGTCTTTTGTCAATTGCCTGTTCATCTCCATTGCCCATCTTTATTTTTTTTAAATCTTCGACTGAGGATATGTTTACTGATTTTTTTTTTTGAGAGAGAGAGACAGAAATGTCAATGCAAGACAGAAATGTCAATTGGTTGCCTCATGTACACACCCCAATTGGGGATTGAGCCCGCGATCTTTTTGGTGCATGAAATGACACTCCAACCAACTGACCCAACCAGCCAGGGCTCCATTGCCCATTTTAAAAATAAATTGGGGTGTTTGCCATTCTGTTATCAATTTGCAAAATGAAGAAAAGAATGCCATAACTGGTATTGCTGAGTTTGTGGGTGTGCATGTTTTGTGTCTCAGTTCCTTTTAAAAGCACTAAAGAATAACATGCATGTAGAAAAAGTATTCAAATGTGTTTTTTAATAGAACACATTTATAGAGCTAAGAGAATTAACAGAGTGAAGAGCTCTATTGATTTTTATACCATGAACACACCCATGTATCCAGTACCCAGATCAGGAGAGAGGGCTACATTTAAAATATTAGTAAATATTGCCAAAACCATTCCAAAAAAGTTTTAGCATTTCCTTCCCCCAGCAATGTGATGAGTTTTAAAATGCTTTATCAACCCAGAGAATGGTATATCAGCAGTGTTTTATTTGCATTTTCTTGAACATAAGAGAAATGATTGTCTTTTTCCATATGTATGACTGCACCCATCTTCTGTGAACTGTCTGTTCATCTTTTAAAATCATTTTCTTGGTGCATCGTTGAATATAGGGAATATTAACACTGTCTGTTTAATGTGCTGCAAACCTTTTTTTCCAAGTCTATTTAAAAATCTAGTTTTTTTCTGTTATGGTTTCTATGTTTCCTATAATGCCTTAAGAAAATCTTTCCACACTAAGATTATAAAACTTTGTCTATTTAAAAAAATATATTGTTGTCTTGTATTTTACTTTTAGATCTTTACCATGGCTAGCATGTACTGTGTAAGTGTACATAATTGGTGTGAGGTAGGGGTTTACTTTGTCTTCAAATGGCTGGTCATTTGTCCCAGCACCATCTATTCAATAGTTAGACCTGGTTTTAAACTTTAGCTCTACCACTTATTAGCTGGATGCCCTTGGGCAATTGGACAGCATTTGACATAACTGACCACTTCCTTTTTCTTGAAATACTCACTTCCCTGAGCTTCTGTGTCATAAGACAGTCTTGATTTTCCTTCTGCTTCTCTGGTTGGTCTTTTGTCCTCCCTTTCAGGCTCATTCTTCCCTCCTTGACTGTTGTACTTTTTCTGCCAGCTGATCTTGTCTAGATAATGGCTTCACCCATCACTGAAATGCAGATAATTTTCAGATTTTGATGTCCAGCCCAGAGCTTTCAACTGAATTCTGGATCTGTGTGTCTACCGCTTACTCAGAGTCTCCACGTGGATGCCCCACAGGCACTTCGAATGCAAGAGTCCCCAAATGGCTCATGATTTGTGCTTCCAAAATGAATTCTCTTTCGTGAGTCCTTGTCAGAGGGAACGGTAGGATCATCTTCCCGTTACAAATGCCTTACATCTGAGCACCTACCGTGACCAACCTCTATTCTCTCCTCTCTTGTTTCCTGTACCCAGAATGAATCCCAGCACCTAGTAGGTGCTCTATAAATACCAAATGGTTGAATGAATATTCAATTCACCCCTAAGTTATGTTGCTGTTACGTCATAAATATCTTACACATTAGACCTCTCCCATCTCTTCCTACCATCTTCACCCTGGTTCAGTCACCATCTCCTGACACCTGGAACTTGCTCCCACCTGCTCAGTGACCTCCTAGCATGCACCCTGGCCAGTGAGGCCTAAGCCCAGATCTGATCAGGTCTCTCCTGAAGGTCACCCTCAAAAATGGGTCTTTTGTGTGTGTGTGTGTGTGGCTTCTCATGACTCTTAGGAATGGCCCCAAGCTCCGACCACGGCCACCCCCACAGACTGCCTCCTCCCCGCCTCACCCTGCTCACGCTCACTCCCCGACTCCCCCAGCCGCCCTGCCCTTCTTGCTGCCCTGGAAGATGCTTTGACTCTCCTGCCCCCCAGGGGACTTTTTACACACGGTGCACAAGTTTTACATAGAGGAATCTTGCGAAACTCAAGACCTTTGTACCTTAGCTTTAAGATCGCAAGACCCTTAGCTAGTCTTTTGTAAATATTTGCACAGCAGATTCCTTAATGATACTACTAATATAATCATTAGCTAGGTAGGGTGAGTTTCCACTTGTTAGAATTTTATCTAGTCTGTATCTTGTCAGCCCAAAATTGCAGCATGCCCTTGTGAGCATTTATTGAAATATTAATCAATGGGTAATTGTTCCATTGCCTTTAATCTTGGTATTTTTCTAATAGGAAATTAAATTAGAGTCACTCCTTGTATGCTTTAGGAAGTTAAATTTTAAAATAGTTAACTCATCTAATTCCTTTATTTAGTCTTGTTATAATTAACTCAGCCAGTATAAAAACTCACCAGAGTCCCTTGCAGTTAGCAAAGAATACTTGTTTTCTTGTTGCATCAACAAACAGAAATGAGATTAAAAGGTGATTATAGTGAGGACAAGTTTAAAATGCAGTGCAGAATTTTCATTTGTTTTCTTGATGTCCCCAAGCCTGGAATGTGCAGCCTCCTCACTTCCATCATCTCAATTGTCACCTACTGTTCCTTTGGTGTCTCCTCTGAGGAGGT